TTTCTACTGAGTTGTGACTGAATGAGAGCGCTCTAGCGTTTACCAGTGAGGTTCATAAACTAAACTCTCAGGAATTAATTGCATCTGTTCTAGAAGTGCTTCTGGGTCTTAGCCTGGCCTCTTCAGAGTGGTAATATTGACCATCTTCTCTGGAATATAGGTAGGGCTAATTAGAAATTAATCAAAATGATTAACCTCTACAGTCCTTCAGCCTATGGAATGCTTTAAAAAATGATAATGGAAAGCCCCAGGAGACCATTTTAGGTAAGATTTTTGTTTGAATTTTAAAATGCATAGAACGTTAAAAAACCAGCAATTTATTTTCTAAAATATTGCTCTACTTTTGGGAATAATAACATTGGTAATACGCACAGGTTTACCTCATTCTATGCAAGAGGGGTTAATAACATAAGGTTTTGTAATAGCTACTGGAAGTAAAATTTGTTACTTTATAGTGTAAGAATGTATGGACTCGCATGTCACCATTTCTTAGTACGGACTCTTTAGGGGCATAAATGCAGATCACATCAACACAAGTTGATTCTCATGTGTCAAATGTATGTGAATTCAGCTGTTAAATTACTGGATATTTATCTTAACATTGCTGAGAGGGACCTACTGTAAATGTGACATCCTCACACTTACCATATCTTTAACTTTGAAAAATCTTCTCATAAACTTTAAGCCTAGAAGTATTCCAAAGCAAGGGTTACAGCAGTCTTTATTCTCAGGCTCACTGAATGAAAGCCAGGACTAATTCCACAGTACAGGCACAAGAAGCCTGTCGTATGGTGTACTCTGCCAGTACCTTGAATTTCGGGGCTCCGTGGGGAACTGAATAAACCAGGAAAGAGATGATTTGGAGCCAGTCAGTCCTGGTAATATATGAAATGCTCATTTACAGCCAGCTTTCATAAGCTTCCAATTCTACAGCAAAACCAGGCTCTGAGTGTTTTAGAATTTCCTAATTCATGAAGTGTTTCTTGTCTTGATCCCATGACCAGCAGTTGAAGGTTGGTAAGGACTTTCCTACAGTCTAAACACAACCTAAAGCCCTCTTTATTGTTCACACTAACTCCTGCTGCTGACAAACAAAAAAAATGAATGCAGAGGAGATTTATGTCTTAGCCATAACTCCAGTTGTACAACTCAGTCGCCCCATTCTCCTTTACGGTTCAAAATGTACTGCTGACCTTTGGTTTGTTTTTCTGTCTTGTTTTGTTTTTTCCTGTTAGGATTTATTTGGGGACTTTTGGTAGTTTAAACTCTTTAACCTTTTCCTTGCTGTTTATGAGGAAAGCTAAAGCTGTTATCAACTTCTTATTCTACGATACTAACACGGGTTTTCAGTGTTTGTTTGTTTTTATTATTATTAATTTTGCGTGATGTGAATACCCTCTCCCATCAATATTTGTATTATGGTGCTATATATTGGTAATGATCCTTTAATATTGGGAAGGGATTTTAAAAATACTGTGATTAAACTGGGTTTCTTCCTTTGATTTTCATATTTTAAATAAAGCCACAGTCATTTATACAAAAGAAAAGCATCTGTCCCTGGGCAAATCTTTTGAGGACAGAGTCAGAGTAAACTGCATAAGGTTTTTACATCATTTCTGTATGTATTTGATATATAGATCAATATCTGTACAAATTTAATCTTTTATTTTCTTGGTAACTCGTGATCCTTGAGAAAGTGTTTGAAACTTTCTCATGAAGTGTATATATAATGGCGTGAAAAATTCCTTTGGAGAAATTTATGTTCCTTTCATTTTTACCAAATTGCAAATTTTCAGCATGGATGTGAAAAGCATTAAAATTATAACTTTGTGTACAAGATGAAAATAATTCACTAAATTCGCCCTTTTTTTACACAAAATAAAATGTTAAAGTTAAGCTGGATTTGAGCGGTTCTTTAACATGCTTTGGTTTGCGGGGTTGCTTTTCTATTGCGTGCCCACTATAAACAGTCACAGACCCCTATGAAAGTTGGCTCAGTCCCTTCCTCTAATAAGGGATAGCAGGCACATACGTGAGTGCTGTGAGGAAGAATTTACCACCAGCTCGTGAGGGAGCCAAGAGTAGTACGGTTCGACTTACGGACAAGGTGCATTGGCGGTGGAATTTCGTGGGCAGAAAGGGAAAGGGCAAAAACCACAGCAGGAGTCAAAGTGAATAGAGACCTGTATGGGGAAATTAAATCACCTTAGCTAGAACATTGTGTTTTGGGGTTGGCATGCTTAGTAGGAGACTTTTTTTTTTTTTTTTGAGGCAGAGTTTCGCTCTTGTTACCCAGGCTGGAATGCAATGGCACGATCTCGGCTCACCGCAACCTCCGCCTCCTGGGTTCAGGCAATTCTCCTGCCTCAGCCTCCTGAGTAGCTGGGATTACAGGCACGCGCCACCATGCCCAGCTAATGTTTTGTATTTTTAATAGAGACGGGGTTTCACCATGTTGACCAGGATGGTCTTGATCTCTCGACCTCGTGATCCACCCGCCTCGGCCTCCCAAAGTGCTGGGATTACAGGCTTGAGCCACCGCGCCCGGCAGGAGACTTTATTTTTTAACTCCATTAACCTCAGCAGCAAAATTAATCAGATGTGAATAAAGTGTCCCAGCTAGCTCTTGCCCTTAACATTAAAAGGGAATGCAAAAAAGCCTGCCTTTACCCACAGCTGGCTCTTTGGAAAATTATTCAACTTTTACTGCAGATGCAGTTGGTAGAGATATTTATGAATTGGAAAAGGATATGTAAGATAGTAATGAGATGGACTGGGTCTCCTCAGGGATTAATTTCACACTTTAGAAAAATGTAACACATTTGGCCAGGCATAGTGGCTCACGTGTAATCCCAGCACTTTGGGAGGCTGAGGCAGGTGGTTGACAGAGAAACCCCATCTCTACTGAAAATACCAAATTAGCAGGGCATGGTGGCACATGCCTGTAATCCCAGCTACTTAGGAGGCTGAGGCAGGAGAGTCGATTGAACCAAGAAGGCGGAGGTTGCGGTGAGCTGAGATCACACCATTGCACTCCAGTCTGGACAGCAAGAGCGAAACTCGGTCTCAAAGAAATAAAAAATGGCCGGGCGCGGTGGCTCAAGCCTGTAATCCCAGCACTTTGGGAGGCCAAGGCGGGTGGATCACGACGTCAAGAGATCGAGACCATCCCGGTCAACATGGTGAAACCCCGTCTCTACTAAAAATACAAAAAATTAGCTGGGCATGGTGGCGCGTGCCTGTAATCCCAGCTACTCAGGAGGCTGAGGCAGGAGAATTGCCTGAACCCAGGAGGCGGAGGTTGCGGTGAACCGAGATTGTGCCATTGCACTCCAGCCTGGGTAACAAGCGAAACTCCATCTCAAAAAAAAAAAAAAAAAAGAGAGAGAGAGAGAGAGATGGGGTCTCGATATGTTACCCAGGCTGGAGTGCAGAGTGCGGTGGCTATTCACAGGTGAGATCCCACTACTGATCAGCACGGGAGTTTTGACCTGCTGTTTCCAACCTGGGCTGGTTCACCCCTCCTTAGGCAACCTGGTGGTACCCCGCTTCCGGGAGGTCACCATATTGATGCCGAACTTAGTGCGGACACCCGATCGGCATAACGCACTGCAGCCCAGAACTCCTGCGCTCAAGCGATCCTCCCACCTCAGCCTCCCGAGTAGCCGGACTACAGGCACGCGCCACCGCGCTCAGCCCAGGTTACAACTTTGTTATTCTGACGAATTGGCTGTAAATTAAGGATTCCCATGACCCCTTCCCTAGAATCAGTTAATTTGCTAGAAAGGATCATATAACTCAGGGAACAACTATTTATATTTATTCGTTTAATAGAGGATATAGCTGGTGTACATCTGTGATCCCAGCTACTCAGGAGGCTGAGTTGGGAAGATTATTTGAGCCCTGGAGTTAAAGGCTAGCCTGGACAACCGAGCGAGACCTCCATTTCTAAGAGAGGATGTAGATGGACCCGATGCATGGGGCGGGGTATGTGGAAAATGGCATGGAGCTTCCACGACCTCAGAGTGTACCACCCGCCAAGCACCTCAGCAATCTGGAAGCTCCCCACACCATATTCTTTAGGGGTTTTATGGAAGCTTCATTAGATAGGCGTGACTGATTGCATAATTGGCCATTGGTGAACAATTCAAACTTAGCCCCTCTCCTCTTCTTGGAGGTTGTAGGGAGGCTATCCAGGAGCTCCCATAGCCACCAATCATCTCATTAGCATATAAGGAACCTAACATTTGAGATTACAAGGGTTTTAGGAGCTGTGTGCCAGGAACCAGAGGCAGAGACCAAATATGTACTTAAATCATAATGTCATTGTCTTATAGCTACTGTAGCAGTATAAATAAAAAGCATAGGATTGTCATATATAGGAGTGACATTTAGCTTTTCCTTTTTTTTTTTTTTTTTTTTATTTGCGATGGAGTCTTACTCTCGTTGCCCAGGCTGGAGTGCAATGGCACAATCTTGGCTCACTGCAACCTCTACCTCCCGGGTTCAAGCCATTCTCCTGCCTCAGCCTCCCGAGTAGCTGGGATTACAGGTGCCTGCTACCATGCCTGGCTAATTGTATTTTTAGTAGAGACAGGTTTCACCACATTGGCCAGGCTCCAGGATGGTCTCAAACTCCTGACCTCAGGTGGTCCACCCACCATGACCTCCCAAAGTGCTGGGATTACAGGCGTGACCCACGGCACCTAGCCATAAAAATCTTTCATACAGGAATATACATTGATGCATTAGCTACAGTAGTTGAGATGCTTAGTTTGATTTCCTTATTCGTTTCCTTAGACACACAGCCAGGGCCATGCTTTTCCCCTTCAGCCCTACCATTTTCCCTCATAGAGCGTCTTGAGGTATACCCAGGTTCTTAGAAGAATCAATTATTCTTTGACAATAAGCAGGATTTAGATGCAGATGATACTACTATATAGCCAGGGAACCAAGTCACTTCTTTCAACTCAGTATCAAATAAGCACAAGGAGACAGTGTCCAGTTTCCAAAGGCTTTACTGGCAAATATACTCTACAAAAGAATGATCAATCCTGTTGCTTCTAAGTCAGTGGAATGAAGAGCTGTGTCCAGGGACATACCAAGCCGGGCTGAAGGAGACTGCTGCTGTGTCCACCTCTTATTCATAGACCCAGTCGTGAGCACAAGACTTGTAGTCAACCAGTTCTTCAGGCTTAAACCATAGGTTGATTTCTTTTTCAGCACTTTTTACTGAGTCACTGCCATGAATGATGTTCCTAAGAAAGAAAACAATTACTAGGCACTGTTTTGTTCATTTTTGTTTTTTGTCACCGTGTTTTAAAGTGCAGAAGTCTGTTTAATGGGTACAGCAACGGACAGCCACTCCAGACTTTTTCAGCCAAATTGCCACTTGAAGCAGCAGACCCATTTATACTCCCAAAGTGTTTCCTTTTAAAAGCAGATGGCTGGGTATGGTGGCTCATGCCTGTAATCCCAGCACTTTGAGAGGCCGAGGCGGGTGGATCACAAGGTCAGGAGTTCGAGACCAGCCTGGCCAAAATGTTGAAACCCCATCTCTGCTAAAAATACGAAAATTAGCTGGGTGCAGTGGCATGCACCTGTAATCCCAGCAACTCAGGAGGCTGAGGCAGGAGAATCGCTTGAACCTGGGAGGCGGAGGTTGCAGTGAGCCGAGATCGCACCATTGCACTCCAGCGTGGGTGACAGAGTGAAACTCTGTCTCACAAAAAAATAAAAATTAAAAATTAAAAATAAAAGCAGATATACAACTGTAAAGGTGGTTGGTTCCAAACACTCCTTGTTTTCACTGTATTATGCTTCCAAGTCCAGCTGTACACCAAGATTGCTGATAACACAAAACATTCCTCCTCGAATTTTGGAAAATACGGTGGTAATATTCAAACGCACTCCAGATCAACATCCCAACTAGATATGATGTATTCACTGTCACAGGCCAGTTCCGCTGCATCTACTTACAACTCTGATTTGTAAAGCCCAGCCATGACATAACACTGCTTATTGATAACAATCCCTTTATTCCACTTAAACCTCACAACTTTGTCAAGGTTTTGAATAGATTGTGTACAGGCACGGGAACCAAAAGGTTAAGCAACACACCCAGGGACAAAGTACTCATGGCTAGAAATCTTCCCTTCTCCACACCTAGCACTGTCTGCTGTGCTACACAGGAACCACCACATAGAGCTCCCTTATAGTATCTTGCTTAAAATTAACCTAGGGAATAAGCGATCTATGAAAGCTTTTTTTTTGAGACGGAGTCTCACTCTGTCGCCCAGGATGGGGTGCAGTGGCAAAATCTCAGCTCACTGCAACCTCAGCCTCCTGGGTTCAAGTAATTCTCCTGCCTCCGCCTCCTGAGTAGCTGGGACTCACCATACCTGGCTAATTTTTTGTATTTTTAGTAGAGATGGGGTTTCACCATGTTAACCAGGCTGGTCTCAAACTCCTGACCTCATGATCTGCCCACCTCAGCCTCCTATAATGCTGGGATTACAGGCGTGAGCCACCGTGCCCAGCGTTTTTTTGTTTTTGTTTTTGTTTTTTTGAGATGGAGTTTAGCTCTTGTTGCCCAGGCCAGAGTGCAGTGGCATGATCTCAGCTCACTGTAGCCTCCCCATCCCGGGTTCCAGCAATTCTGTCTCAGCCTCTTGAGTAGCTAAGATTACAGGCATGCATCACCACGCCCAGCTAATTTTTTAGTTTTAATAGAGACAGGTTTTCACCATGTTGGCCGGGCTGGTCTCAAACTCCTGACCTCAGGTTATCCACCCGCTTCAGCCTCCCAAAGTGCTCAGATTACAGGCGTGACCCCCTGGCCTGAAAGCTTTTATACAATTATAAATTACCACCTAATTTAAAAGTTCAGGCCAGGTTCAGTGGCTTATGTCTGTAATCTCACCACCTTCTGAGGCCGAGGCAGGCGAATCACTTGAGGTCAGGAGTTGGAGACTAGTCTGGCCAACATGGTGAAACCCCATCTCTACCAAAAATACAAAAATCAGCCAGGCATGGTGGCATGCACCTGTAATCCTAGCTACTTGGGAGGTTAAGACAGGAGGATCGCTTGAACCCGGGAGGTGGAGGTTGCAGTGAGCTGAGATGGCACCACTGCACTCCAGCCTGGGCAACAGAGGGAGACTCCATCTCAAGAAAAAAATAATAAGTTCACATTCTTCTGAAAGTAGGATGCGCCCAATGTCTGCTTTAAATGGTGTTGCATCAAAGTCGCCCACCCTCCTGTCCCTGGACTTACCTGCCAACCTGAATGCAGAAGTCCCCACGAATGGTGCCTGGCTTAGAATCTGCTGGATTGGTCTCCCCAAGCATCACTCGACCTGTCTTCACCACATTCAACCCCTCCCAGACCTGGACAGTGTGAAATGAATTTACATCAGATCTACCACTCAGGACAGCTAGGGGCTAACATTTACTCCTACCTGACAGGGCACGTCAATGAGACCAATCAGTGACATTATCAGCTGACCCCAGCACAGAGTAGAAACCTAATTATGCCCGACTCCAGGGTCAGGCGCCTGTAATCCCAGCACTTTGGGAGGCCGAGGAAGGTGGATCACGAGGTCAAGAGATCAAGACCATCCTGGTCAACAAGGTGAAACGCCGTCTCTACTAAAAATACAAAAAATTATCTGGGCATGGTGACGCGTGCCTGTAATCCCAGCTACTCAGGAGGCTGAGGCAGGAGAATTGCCTGAACCCAGGAGGCGGAGGCTGTAGTGAGCCGAGATCGTGCCATTGCACTCCAGCCTGGGTAACAAGAGCGACACTCCGTCTCCAAAAAATAAAAATAAAAATAAAATAAATAAATAAATACTCCATTCCAAATGTATTACTAGGATTCAAAGAAAAGTCCACCCAACGTGAGGACTTCCCAGTTTAGCTGAGACAGATAAACAATGTTGGAAGAATCCTTATGCAGCCATAAACACAGAAGAACTGGTGAAGAAAGGCAAAAGCGGCCAGACCGGACTAGATCAGTGGGAACGGCATCCCAGGAGACTGCTAGAACAGGGAAAATGAAGGCTAAACATTCTACAGAAAGTATTCTAGGGACAGCAGAAGAAAAAGCCACACTTGTTGAACAGGAAATAGGTGTACTTTCTCAACAATTTCAGTGCCTCCCTATTTCACTCTCCTATTCTCTGCACTCCCAGTTGGACGTCAGCACCATCCAGAAGAAACCACATCTAGTATAGGATTCCAAACTTCTGCTTCTTGTATTATATACTCACATTTGAATTTTTCATGGAAAAATGTAAGAAAATGGGAAAAAGTTTTTTAATCTAGGAAACATTAAAGTCTAATACACCTGTCAAACAGAAGAAATTTAACAATTTTTTTTTTTTTTTGAGACACAGTCTGTCAGGCATCAAGCTGGAGTGCAGTGGTGCAATCTTGGCTCACTGCAACCTCCGCCTCCCAGGTTCAAGCAATTCTCCTGCTTAAAGCCTCCCGAGTAGCTGGGACTACAGGCACGTGCCACCACGCCCAGCTAATATTTGCATTTTTTTTTAGTAGAAACAGAGTCTCACCATGTTGGCCAGGCTGGTCTCGAACTCTTGGCCTCAGGTGATCTACCCGCTGTGGCCTCCCAAAGTGCTGGGACTACAGGCATGAGCCACCGCGCCCGGCCCAGAAATACAGCACCCTTATAGACAATGAGATTCTATTTAACCCAGGAGAAAGCTACCTGAAAACATCCTTCCATTTCTTTTTTTCTTTTCTTCTTTTTCTTTTTTTTTTTTTTTTGTTGAGAGAGAGTATCACTCTATCACCCAGGCTGGAGGTCAGTAGCGGATATCGGCTCACTGCAACTTCGCCTCCTGGGCCCAAGCAATTCTCCTGCCGCAGCTTCCCAAGCAGCTGGGCTTACAGGCGTGCACCCATGCCCAGCTAACATCCTTCCCATTTCTAAGGTCTGATTTTGCTTTCTCCTCCCTAACTCCTGGTTGCTCAGTTAACTTCAGCAGGTTCCATTCATAAAATGATTTAGATTAGCTGAGGGAGACATCTAAAAAAGCTGAGCACTTTTTCCTCATTTTCCATATTCCCCATAAGCACTCACCATGGCCACGACCGGCCCTGAGTTCATGTACTTCACCAGCCCAGGGAAGAATGGGCGGTCTTTCAGGTCAATGTAATGCTGCTTCAGGTGTTCCTCAGAGGCCTGGCATTCAAGAGGAGGTGCCAGTTAGGAATTCAGCTGGAAAGACTCCATCCCACCCTCTGGACCTCCCATTAGTATAGCAGGGTCTCTGTAAGTCCAGTTTTATATTCTAGCCCACATAAGTGCGTGAAGATAGACATACTAAAAAAAAAATTTTTTTTTGTTAGATACGGAGTTTTGCTCCTGTTACCCAGGCTGGAGTGCAATGGCGCGATCTCAGCTCACTGCAACCTCCGCCTCCTGGGTTCAAGCCATTCTCCTGCCTCAGCCTCCTGAGTAGCTGGGATTACAGGAACGCGCCACCATGCCCAGCTAATTTTTTGTATTTTTAGTAGAGACGGGGTTTCACCAGGTTAACCAGGATGGCCTCGATCTCTTGACCCCGTGATCCACCCGCCTCGGCCTCCCAAAGTGCCGGGATTACAGGCGTGAGCCACTGCACCCGGCCGATACATAGAAATATTATTATTTTTGGCCGGGCACGGTGGCTCACGCCTGTAATCCTGGCACTTTGGGAGGCCGAGGCGGGTGGATCACGAGGTCAAGAGATCGAGACCGTCCTGGTCAATATGGTGAAACCCCGTCTCTACTAAAAAATTACAAAAAATTATCTGGGCATGGTGGCGCGTGCCTGTAATCCCAGCTACTCAGGAGGCTGAGGCAGGAGAATTGCCTGAACCCAGGAGGCGGAGGTTGCGGTGAGCCGAGATCGTGCCATTGCACTCCAGCCTGGGTAACAAGAGTGAAAATCCGCCTCAAAAAAAAAACAAAAGAAAGAAATATTATTATTTTTTTTTTTAAAGATGGGGTTTCACCATATTGGTCAGGCTGGTCTCGAACTCCTGACCTCAGGTGATCCGCCCACCTCAGCCTCCCAAAGTGCTGGGATTACAGGCGTGAGCCACCGCGCCCTGCTGAAATATTTTTAAAATCCCATCCAACCACCAAACTAACGCCATTTTAGCAGGAAGAGTGTTCTTTTTTGGTTTGTTGTTTCAGTTTGTTTTAGGAGACAGGGTCTCACTCTCACCACCCAGGCTGGACAGCAGTGGCACAATCATGGCTCACTGCTGCAGCCTTAACTTCCAGGGCTCAAGTGATTTTCCCACCTCAGCCTTTCAGGTAGTTAGAACTACAGGTGCACTCAACCACGCCCAGTTAATTTTTTTTTTTTTAATGTTTTTGTAAAGACAGGGGCTTGCTATGTGGCTCAGGCTGATCCCCAACTCCTGGGCTCCACACATCTCTGCCTCCCAAATTGTTGAGAGTATAGGCGTGAGCCCCGCGCCCAGCCAAGACTTTCCTAACCGTAAAAACACTCTCATACTGTCAGTGACACTGAGGATTTTGTAATCCTAAGAAGTAGGTGGTTTGAGGAATTTTGGCTGCAACTGAAGTACATATGTCAAGTCATATGTCAGGCCATATTAACCACCGCCCCGCCCCCCGGCCCCGGGCTACTCACAATACCTTTTAAATATTTCAGATGATAACTGAGAACATTCTCTTCACCGACAAGCCTGGTTGAATTTCAGTACTTAGATACTTACCCCCACGTGTAGGGATTCAGATCTATGCCCGTAATTTAATGTGGAAAATACAGTTCCTACCCCATGCTAGAGGGGCACCGCACTGGAACTCGGAGTTTCAGACTAAAGCACCAAAGATTCCCAACCTCCATTCTGTGTCTAGGTGGACCCGCGTGGGCAAGCGCACGGGGTCTGGCGCCCGGGGTTTCTCCGCTCCCTGCTGCCCCCTGCGGCGGGTAGGCAGGTGGCGGCCCGCGGGAAGGAAGCCAAACCCAGAGTGCGAGTCACGCTACCCGCGCTTCACCTTCCCAAGGGCGTCTGTCCCCACCGCCTCCGGAAAGGATCGCCGGGCCCGAGCAGCCGTGGGCGGGGGCAGAGGGCAAAAGGATTCTCGTGGGCGCGAAATGGCCTCGGAAAGGCAACGTGGACAAACCGCTGCCGGGAGGAAAAAAACCCCACGAGCCAGCTGCAGCTGGGGAAGGGGCGACCCGGGCAAGTTACCCGGAGGAACTTCATGGCCACGAGGCGGAACCCCTTCTGCTCGAAGCGCTTGATGATCTCGCCCACCAGGCCGCGCTGCACGCCGTCCGGCTTGATGGCGATGAAAGTCCGCTCGAGGTTGGCCATGGTCCTGCGGGGCGAGAAGGTGCGGTCAGGGCCCGGGCTGGTCCGGTCCGGGGGTCGGAGGCCACGTGGGCGCCGCCGGGCCCGCCTCCGCCACCAAGCGCGGCCGCGGGGACACGTGGCTTCCCGGCGCTTCCGCCCCGCGCAGGGCCAGCGTCCCTCTGCGGAGCCCGCAGGCCTGCGGGGCTCACGCGGCCAGGAAATCTCCCGCTCCGACCCCGGGCGGGACCTGCGGGAAATCGGGGTCCACCCGCAGACCGGGCCCACCCGCGGCGGCGCAAGCGGATTAGGGAGCCGGGGGAGTCGCCAGGGGATGCGCCCCCAAGCCTTACCGGGAAGCTGGCGGGGCCGGGCGGCGGCGCTGCGGTGCCGGAGCAGAGAGCTGGTGCGACCACCACACCCGGAGCCAGCGGCGGAGGAGGGGCGCGGGGCGGAGCGCGCGGCGGCCACACCCCAGAGGGCAGGGCCGCCCAACTCGCAAGGACGCCCCACCCGCCGGGCCGGACTAGGCCCTAGAACGCGTGCCCACGCCCAGCCGGGGCGCGCCCTCGCCGGGCAGAGATCGAGACGGATCCAGACACAGGAAGTGATTCGCACGTCCCAAATCCCACTCCTCACCTCTCAGTACTTCCCGTGACCCCAAAAGCTCCTACACGCACACACACCCTGCTTCTATGCTCGGGTTCCTTCCCTGGTCAAGTCCATCTGCTGCTTTCACCATCCGCCCGAGCACCGTCGTTAACCTTGAATTAATTCTCCCTCCACATGGTGCACCCACAGTCCTTATTCTCCCTACCTCTGAAGTCCAGCCTTCCCTTCCTCTGCTTGAGCCCCAGTTAAGCCTCGGCCTCCAAACGGGCCTCGATCTCACCTCTCCCCGCAAGCCGGGAGCCTCGCTCAGCACCTCAAACAGCCATCTGGTCCTGCCTCTGCTCTGCCTTGATGACTCCCTCACCTACAGGAATGGCGTTCAGACTCCTTAGCGAGATGCTCTTTTCACAGGATGCCCTGCTCCCTGGCTGCCGCCTCCCCACCTACATTTCCAGCCCCAATCAGACACTCCACTCCCACCCTGAGATGGGGAACCATGCCCACCCGGCACTAAAGTGTGGTCAAGTTTTCCAGTTCACCCTGAGCCTCGCCCCTGGACCCTGAGGAGAGTCTAGACCCTATCACAGAGATCAGGGCTGTCATCGACTTGTAGACAATTCCTACTTGCCACGTGCCTGGCAAACAAGCTCCCTTTGGTGGCACCCAGCTACCCTGGGGTGGTCACGAGCCCCTCCTCTCAGCACCTGCAGCACTGACAGCAGCACAGCGGTGGTGCTGCCCTGAGATGGTGGAAGCCCACTTGCTTCCCCTCAGGACTCTGAGCTGACCACAAATCACCCGAGTACCCCAAGTACTGCGCTGATCACTTGTCACTGGCCAGATGGATGGCAACCTGGCCTGTTATACCTCATCTGCTTTCCAAACTTCTAGTTACAGAGAGTATCAACTCAGCAGACATTGACAATGACTGCCACGTGCCCTCGTTTGGGGGCACTGTATTTTTTGGCTTCAATCTGAAGCACACTCTCATTTGGATTACCAAATGTCAACTGTGGAAACAGATCTGGAAATTTCATAGACTTTTCTCTGTCCAGTGGAGGGCTATCTGCCCCTTGGTCAGGTCACTGATGGCTACTTAGGGTACAGTCAAGACCATGCCTCTGCTCTCACCTCTTCTTTCCTTCCTGAGAAGACTGTCCTTAACTGGGGAGGCTGTAACCTTCCAGCTTCACTACACACAAGTCCTGGTATGCTCATCTGATGCCCCAAAATAAACAGGTCACACCATGTAAAATATTAAATAGAAATTTATCTCACCCTCATCAGTCCATAAAGAAGGCAGCCCACCCCAGCTACCCTTTTCTCCCCCATCCTAAGAAGTCCCTTCCCTTCTATTGCCTCTACCAAAGCCAGATGAACAGAAAGAAAAATCCTCAGGCTGGGCGCAGTGGCTCACACTATAATTCCAGCACTTTGGGAGGCCCAGGCAGGCTTGAGCCCAGCAGTTGGAGACCAGCCTGGGCAACATGATGAATCTCTCTCTCTCTCTCTCTCTCTCTCTCTCTCTCTCTCTCTCTTTTGTATTTTTAGTAGAGACAGGGTTTCACCATGTTGGCCAGGATGGTCTCGAACTCCTGACCTCGTGATCCAACCACCTCAGCCTCCCAAAGTGCTGGGATTACAGGCCTGAGCCACGGTACCTGGCTGATGAAACCCTACAGAAAATACAAAAATTAGCTGGGTGTGGTGGCACGTGCCTGTCGTCCCAGGTACTCAGGAGGTTGAGGTAGGAGGATCACTTGGGCCCAGAGAGGGCAAGACTGTAGTGAACTGCTGGGATAACGCCACAGCATTCCATCCTAGGTGACAGAGCGAGATCCTGTCTCAAAAAAAAAAATTTTTTTCCAGTTTCTCTTGCAGCTAGATGCAGCCATATGACTAAGTTCCAATGGGATGTGAGAGAAAGTGAAGATTGTAAATCAGAGTTGTCCCTTTAAAAGGGATACTTCTTCCACTTCTCTTCCCAACTCACAGGTAGGGACATGGGGTGGTAATCCAAGTAGGACTGATTAGAAGGAACCAGGTGTGTGTAGACCACCTTAAGGATCAGAGCCTTACCACCATCACCATCACCACCCCTACTGAGCAGCTAGGGACTTTTTTTTTTTTTTTTTTTTTTTTGAGATGGGGTTTCACCATGTTGGCCAGGATGGTCTCCATCTCCTGACCTCATGATCCGCCCGCCTTGGCTTCCCAAAGTGCTGGGATTACAGGCGTGAGCCACTGCACTCAGCCTGAGTTTTTTTTTTTTGGAAGACAGGGTCTCACTCTATCATCCAGCCTGGAGCGCAGAGGCAGGATCACAGGTCACTGCTCCAAACATCCCAGCCTCAAGCAATCCTCCTACCTCAGCCTCCTGAGTAGCTGGGACTACAGGAATGTACCACTGCACCCGACTAATTTTTTAATGTTTGGTAGAGATGAGGTCTCACTTTGTCACCCAGGCTGGTATAAAACTGCTGAGCGCAAGCGATCTGCCTGCCTGAGCCTCCCAAAGGCCCTGTAGTCTCAGCTACTCAGGAGACTACAGCAGAATCACTTGAACCCGGGAGGCAGAGGTTGCAGTGAGCTGAGATCGTGCCATTGCACTCCAGCCTGGGTGACAGAGCAAGACTCCATCTTAAAAACAAACCAAAAAACCACCTCAAACTCCTAGGCCCAAGCAATCCTCCTGCCTTGACCTCCCAAAGTGCTAGGACTATAGGTATGAGCCACCACACCCAACCACACTTGATTGTTTTTTTTTTTTCAAGACAGAGTTTCGCTCTTGCTACCCAGGCTAGAGCATAAGGGCATGATCTCGACTCACTACAACCTCCACCTCCCCGGTTCAAGCAATTCCTCTGCCTCAGCCTCCTGAGTAGCTGGGATTACAGGTGCCAACCACACCCAGCTCATTTTTGTATTTTTAGTAAAGATGAGGTTTCACCAGGTTGACCAGGCTGGTCTTGAACTCCTGACCTCAGGTGATCCACTCACCTCGGCCTCCTAAACTGCTGGGATTACAGATGTGAGCCACCACACTCGGCCCACACTTGAACTTTCAAATGAAAGAGAAGTACATTTCTATCTTGTCTCTGTTAACGCAACCATATCAATATCCTAACAAATCAAAGCTACTTACAAGACCTCCAGCTTCATTTGAGGCCATCTCAGGGCCCCAGACCTATTGTCTACTTAGGTTTTCTGATATTTGGAGTAATTACAACTTCTCACACTCCCCCATTCACTGAATCCCCAAGAGCTTCTCAAGAACAGGATGGATATCTTTTTTTTTTTATTTAAGAGACTGCTCTCAGGCCGGGCGCGGTGGCTCAAGCCTGTAATCCCAGCACTTTGGGAGGCCGAGGCGGGTGGATCACGAGGTCAAGAGATCGAGACCATCCTGGTTAACACGGTGAAAGCCCGTCTCTACTAAAAATACAAAAAATTGGCCGGGCACGGTGGCTCAAGCCTGTAATCCCAGCACTTTGGGAGGCCGAGGCGGGTGGATCACGAGGTCGAAAGATCGAGACCATCCTGGTCAACATGGTGAAACCCCGTCTCTACTAAAAATACAAAAAAACTAGCTGGGCGTGGTGGTGCATGCCTGTAATCCCAGCTACTTAGGAGGCTGAGGCAGGAGAATTGCCTGAGCCCAGGAGGCGGAGGTTGCGGTGAGCCGAGATCGCGCCATTGCACTCCAGCCTGGGTAACAAGAGCGAAACTCCGTCTCAAAAAAAAAAAAAAAAAAAAAAAAATACAAAAAATTAGCTGGGCATGGTGGCGCGTGCCTGTAATCCCAGCTACTCAGGAGGCTGAGGCAGGAGAATTGCCTGAACCCAGGAGACGGAGGTTGCGGTGAGCCGAGATCACGCCATTGCACTCCAGCCTGGGTAACAAGAGCGAAACTCCGTCTCAAAAAAAAAAATTAAAAAGAGACTGCTCTCACTCTGTTGCCCAGGCTGAAGTACAGTAGCACAATCATGGCTCACTGCAGCCTTGAACTCCTGAGCACAGGCAATCCTCCTGCCTATGCCTCCCCAACAGCTAGGACTAAAGGTGCACCGAACCAGAGCTGTCTAATTTTCTTGTAAAGACAGTGTCTTGCTATGTTGCCCACGCTGGACTTTAACTTCTGGCCTCTAGTGATTCTCCCTGCCAGCTTCCTGAATCATTGGGATTAAAGGCATGATCCATAGTTCCTGGGCTAATTTTTTTGTTTTAGAGACAGGGTCTTGCTATGTTGTCCTGGCTGGTCTCCCACCTCAGCCTCCCAAGTAGCTGTGATCACAAGCACAAGCCACCACACCCAGCCCTCATATTTTCTTTTACGTCTGATGAATCCTCTGTACCTAGTCCAGTCTTGGCCACCTCACAGATGCTCCATACATGCCTGTTGGCTGGCTCAGTGCCCAGAGTGGAAGGGATGCAAGGGTTAAGGAGAGGGGCAGGCAATGCCTGTGCGTATGTGAGAAATCAATATAAATGATTTATATAGTATTTACGCTCTCTATTAGGTCAGGTTATTCCATGTACATTTAAAAAAAAAAAAAAGCAAAACAAAGTAGCCAACTCCATGAATCCTCTGTTGGGAGGAAGCATTTTAATCCGAGGTAGGGGATGGTAACACTGTACAGGGAGCACTCACAGCTCCAAGAGTTTCCCTTCAAATTATGAAGAAGCTCCTGTAAATAACTAGATTTCCTACAGCCTGGTCCTCTGCCCATGGGAAGGAGGGGAAATGAATGTGAAAAGCATTATGGTCTGCCATCTGGTCATTCATAGATCCAGTTCTGAGCACAGCTCTTGTAATCTACCAGTTCCTCAGGGTGAAACCACAAGCCGATCTCCTTCTCTGCACTCTCCACGGAATCGCTGCCGTGTATAATGTTCCTGGGTGGAGAAAGAGATAGTCACGTTACCAAGACCAGAAGGATTCAAATGCACCCATTGCCAGAA